GGGGGGAGAGGATCCTTTTGCTGTTTAATATACTTAGAATATATTTTCTTTTGTCTTTAGGACTGCTGTTTAAACAAAAGGCCGGAGGTAAACATGCTACCTGAAAGGGTATTGAATAGCACTGACGCACACAACTAGGTTTCTATTTTATTTAAAGCTGAACTGTAGACAGATGTAAACAAAAAAACACCTTTTTGTCTTTAGGACTGCTGTTTAAACAAAAGGCCGGAGGAAAAAATGCTACCTGAAGGGGTATTGTATAACACTGACACACACAACTAGGATTCCATTTTATTTAAAGCTGAACTCTAGGCAGATGTAAAAAAAAAACAACAATTTCAGTTATACATTTTTAAAATATATTTGAATGCAAATTCTTCTGGCTATTAGATTCCTGTGTTGGCCTGCTTGTATACTGGAAAAGGGAGTGTCAAAACTATGAGCCAATCCACCTGTACTGCATGCACATACGTTGACAGAAGGAGTGCAAAGTGAGCAGTGGATAGGTCTAATCTGTGTTCTTTTTTTTGTCCAGTCAAGCAGCCTGGTGGTTTGGACAAACCAGGGTTTTTGACCCAGCTGCACTGCTACTGTCAGGTAGTTGTACTTTTTTTGTCTAGGGTGTCGAGCTCAAAACCAGAAGCACAAAATTACAAATCCTTTGACAGAAAAAGTTCCCACATTCATATTTAAATTTTGTACTATATTTAATTGCTTGTACAGTCTTTTCGATTTAAACATTTTTAACATTACTAAAACGAATTAAAAATAGATTTCACTTGCCTGAGTTAATCAAACAACTAAACACTGCTTTGTCTTTTTACAGTAGAGACAGCAAAACAGCAAAAAGTTTTCCCAGCACACTCACCAGCCAGCATGCAAAATTACAGTAGAGAGTCTCTTCTCTTATAACAAGTCTTACGTTATTTCACTTTGTAGGTAGTACCACCAAAACAAACTTGCTTTCTTTTACTTTTTATTTAAGAGCTCTCTGACCTTGTTTGATGAAAATAAATTCTTACCTCTGGATCCTACGCAAGAACTTATATTTCCACCTGAGCTAATGGTGAGTTACAAGTCTGAATTGAAATGAAAATAAGGAATGTCGATGGTTTGTCTTGTCATGTTTAACCTTTAGTAATGCAGCAGCTGGGGAAATGAATTCATAGCCACTATCTTTCCTTTATATCATGTTTTGCCGAATGCCTTTAAGAGAGTGGGTGATATGGAGTATTCATACACAGATTTGTTGCCATGCCAGCCAAAAGTAGACCGGAAATGATCAATGTAGTTGTCTGGCGTTTCCAGGAAATATACACAAATATTTGAATTAATATAGAGTAATTCTAGGCACACATTCAGCATTCTTAACTAAAAATGCTTAACCTTTGATACCTAAGGAGGGTACAGATCCACTACAATGTCCTAGTTATTGCCCAATCTCGTTACTGAATGGAGATTTTAAATTATTCACTAAGATTTTAGGTAACCGCTTGACCTCTCGCATCCTGGACATAATCCACCAAGATCAGGTAGTCTTTGCTCCCCCCAGAGAGACCCAGGATAACACTACTAGAGTGCTGGACATTGTATACGCTTAAAAATCCTGTTCTTTCTCCTTTTTTTTTTTTCTTCTTCTTCTTCTAAAGGGCAAACGTTAATATCTCCGGCCCTGATATGGGCACATCCTCTCCCAAGAAAATATTGGCCTTTGTGGATGACCTTTTTTCTTCCTTTTTTTTTTTTTAAATCACTAACCTCACTATATCCCTCCCTAATATTTTAGAGGAATTCTGTCTTTACGGTGCCCTTTCCAACTTCCGGATAAATTTACTCCAAGTTGGAAGATATTTCCTACTCTGCCACTTTAGTTCAGACTCTGCAATCCAGTTTTTCTTTCAAATGGTCAGTGTCTTAACCACATACCTTAGAGAAGTCTGAGTTGACAAGGAAGGCCTCTATTTCAGCTCAAGGCCAAGAACCCCTGGAAGTGGAACAAAAGCACAAGGACAGGAGAGGCATGAGTGCTGGTAGAAGCAAAGTCCATGACAAGCCGGATCTGTAGCGTTCGAGCAGCAGGGTACCAGGACAGCAGATAAGATGTAGTGGGGGGACAGGCCGGATCAGCAACTTGCCGGCAGTAAAGTACAGAACAGCAGACAGGAGCGTGGTCAGAAACAAGCTGAAGTCTGGTCAGCCAAACCGAGTCAATTACCAGAAGATCAGGTTCAGGATGCTGGGTTCAGGATACAGGTACACGGAACAGCTGAAGACCAGTCCGTGTTAGAGGCTAGAATGTTATAGCCTTAAATTGCCTGTTTAGCATGAAATTCTGCAACACAAGAGGCGCCCGGTGGTGCACAATTTTGTAACACAAACTATGCCCACACACATGCGCAGGTGCTCATGCAGGACTCTGAGCACAAGGGCCAAGCCTGGCTTCCTGACAGTCAGATTCTTCCATTAAGTATTTGAGCACAATTGTCCCTCGTGACTTCTTGCAGGTTTTTTTTCAGCTAATTTCCTGCCATTGCTTCAGAAGAGCAAACAAGGTTTGCTCGCTGGCACAAGGGATACTTCTCCTGGTTTGAAAAGTGTAGTATCTTGAAACTGAATATACTCCTCTTTTATCTCCTTCAGGCGCTTCCCATGCGCGTTCCTGCTTCTTTTTGTGAGCAGTGAATAGGAGCTTCATCTTGCTCCTGGTGCATCTACCACCGATGCTTAAATTTGAGATTCTTCATCTTCCTAAATCTTGTGGCAGTATAGCTCTCCCAGGACATTTTCAGATATCACATGGCATGCCACCTTACCAGGGGGATTGATTGGTGTAGGCATGGTTCGACTAAACAATGGGCACATCTTGAACAGGTGGTGTCTCCTGTACCTCTCCATGCATTACCCTGGTGTCTTACCAACGTACATGTCAGCATCAAAACTCACCCCATTATTTGCCACACCTGGAACATATGCCGGAATTTTCTTTCCTGTTGCAAACATTTCTCCATCACCTTCGCCCCTTTTCCCTATAATTGGTAGCCCTGCTTTCTCCCCAGGAATTGAGGATCCTTCATTTCAGGACCTTAATGGCTTCTACAACATTTAGCGTGCAAAACTTTCTTGTTGCCAATTCCTGGCCCACGAGAGCAAAAATAGATTCCTATACCCGCTTGACCTCCTTGGTTATCTGGCATAAAACTCAATTAGTGTACATTTTGAAATCCTTACCTGAGGCCCACCTCTATGCCGGGCCACTTACTCTTTTTGAAGAGTCTGCTCGGAACCACTTCTCCACACAATTTCCCTAATGTATACGTTGCTTACTGCTCCGCTGGATCCTTCTTCCCTGCCGTATCTTGGGAACGTGACCTGATTCTTTCTCTGACTTCGGATCAGAGGAACCGCATTTTGCTCTATTCTCATAAAACCTGGCTTTTCACTAAATACCAGGAATCCGAGTTTAAAACACTCACTTAGGTTTATAGAACCCTGCATGCTATGTATCCTCCGACACCGTGCTGTGCTGTTCTGAAACCCTTCTGGGAGGAAGTTGGGAGGATTTTTCATAAATTTGCTGATACTCCAATCCATTTCGACCCAGCCTTTTTCCTTCTGCACCACAACGTTCCCCAGGAAAACCTATAAATGATCCATTCTCCCTCATTTGATTAACGTTACTAGGAGCTGTATCCCCGATTTTTGAAAGCAGCACCATGCTCCGCCCCTAGCTCTGTCGATCAATAAATAATGAGATTGAATGCATGGAGGATTTAATAGCGTACAGTAAGGGCACTCATGAAAAGTCCAGTCCAACCTGGTTTTACAGGCTAGATTTTACCTCTACAATGGAGTACGAGAATCTTTTACGTTCTGCTGATAGCTGATTGGCATTTTAATGCATACTGTTTTGGGGTATGGGGGGTTATTCCCTGTTCCCTTTCAGTATCTGCTTTCTCTTCCTTTTCCTCCTCCCTCTTCCCTCCTCCTCCTCCTCTTTTGCAGTAGCTATACTTTCTTTTCATACACTGCTAGATGTACAGGACGAAATGGTTTGATCCATGGGGACTTGCTTTAACATCACATATCAAGTGGGATCTACTTTGGGGGTTCTGATAAAGGTATCCTTCATGCTATTAACATCCCTGATATGGTTGTCTGGTTGTACATTTGTCCATATATTTTTCAGTCCCCATTATTGTGATTCTATTTACTGCTGCCCTGTTTTCCAATGCCTTGCCTTGGTCTTCTTGCAGTGTTTTTATCTTATTTGTTCTTGTTCTTTATTGTTCTTTCCTTGTTAGAATATTTATTGTAAAACTGTGTGTAAATAATTTGCAGAAAAATGCTTTAAACAGGTAAATGCAACCTATCATCAACAGATTATTTTAACCTCCATAATGGCTGAGAATAATGAATGATTCTTATAGTCTGTTGCCACTATATAAACTCATAAAGTAAGTGATTGTAACACGGTTGGTTTTGTAAATTCATATCACTTGAAATGAAATATAGCAGGAAAGGTGAATTCTTTATTTTTTCATAAATTCTTCCAACCATTATTTTTTAATTTTATTTTTTTAAACCTCATTCAGATGATGCGGAACAACCCAAAGAAAATGATCACATTCCATGGGGAGAGAATTACATGGTACTCTCCTTCCACACTTGAAGAACTGCTGGAGCTGAAGATGAAGTTCCCTAAAGCTCCTCTTGTAGTTGGGAACACTACTGTAGGTAAGATAAAATGAACAGGTGTACAAGATGATGTACATTTTGTGTTACATAAGAACAAGCCCAACTGTAAAGTGTCTATACTGTATATAGTGCTGCACATGCCATTTTCTTAGAAAACGAAAACATCTTCATTCCTTGTGACATAAATGCCGGATACAGAATGATTTATAATTGGTTGTTAGTTTGAGCTGGGATTCGCAAGGCAATATTGTCACAATACTTAGCCAAGAAATGAATTCCAGTGCAAGTCCCAAAATATGTTCTTACCAGTATTTTGAGAAAATTATATGTTCAATAAAATGCAATAAAACACAACAACAAAAAAGTTATTTGGGAAGGGGGTAAGGTTAATTGCTGATTACTTGACCGGTCATGACAAAAGCTAAAAGTATCTCCATTTACTAGGGTATAATGTCTTTGTATAAAATCAGTTAAAGAAGTCGGAGGTGTGTGTTTTGTGTGTGTGTTTTTCGTTTTTTGGTTTTTTTTTTATATAAAATATTTTTAATGTGTACATAGAATGTAGATAAATATCCATATTTGTTTCCAGGGATTCAGATGAAGTTTGAAGGTGTTTTATACCCAGTTATCATCTCCCCTGTAAGAATCAGTGATCTGTATGATGTGTCCACAACTAACCAAGGTAATTGTTTTTCTTTTTTATTAAAGAAATCTATATTGGCACTCTATTCTGCACCAGACTTTAAAAACACGCATTAAATCCAAAACCCATTTGAGTAGATTCTGCCAGGATGAATGACCCTCAGCATCGTTCCTATTTGTATTTAATCTGTGAGACTTGTTCTAAGTCCTACCTACGTTACTACAGCTGTCATGAGGGGGACTCCATCAAATTATTGGATCTTGTAAATTTGATATCATGGAGTATTCAGAAGTAGGAGTCTGACTTTACTATTTCTCCATGATAAGTAGAACTCAATAATGATGGTAGGGACAGAGATGTGATGAGGATGGGGGCAAAGCCGTAAACAGGGGCAGATGTTGTTGTGCTTGGTTATAGTGATACGTTTTTAGTTGGTGGCATTGTCCTTCTAATTTTTATCCCAGTGTTCAACCTATTTTTTTTTTGCTTTTGAACATGGAAGGTGATCTTTTATTCGTGTCCAGGGTGAAACACACTTTGATACATCTGAGAACTGGTCTGGGCATTGTCTAAAGTCTCCCATGTTTCCGTTTTTTAGGAATTACGGTTGGAGCTGCAGTCAGTCTTGCACAAGTGAAACAAATTTTAAATAAGAATGTTTCTAAGTTACCAAAAGATAAAACCAAGATATTCCATGCATTACTGCAGCAGCTGAGCACGCTGGCCGGAGAGCAAATTAGAAGCATGGCTGTAAGTATAATTTCTGAGCACTCAGTTGTGAAATGTTCTGCAATTTTAAGTGTAAAATTCGGTTTGTTTGTTTTTTGTTTCTTTTTTCCCACTTTCATAGTGAATCTTCTATTTGGTTCCTAACTAATATATGTTTTTAATGCTTTCAGTCTCTTGGAGGGCATGTTATCAGCAAAGGTTCAGTAAGCGACCTTAACCCAGTGCTTGCCGCAGGGGGAGCTGCATTAAACTTGGCATCCAAAGGTAAATATTGTGAGTCTTGTCCAGAAATACAGGAAACATGCAGTTAGCATAACTATAACATTTTCTCTCTTTAATAAAACTGTAATGCAGTGTATAGTTTTGCTAATATTTTAAATAAAAGATGCCAGGTTAAAGTGGACTTTTTAGTGACTTTACAGTCCATTTATACATTCCTGACATGTCAGAATATAAAGTAACATTTGATTTTTGTTCTTACCTTTTGCCATCAAATAATCCTTGAAATCCAGGCAAATGACTGCGCTGGGAGAATAATGTTAGGAGATGGTTGCAAACAGAAGGAAGCATTTCCTCTGTCTTCCCTTTAATCACTATAACTGTTTTTAACATTAGAAAGAAATTACATGACAATGCTTTCCATGTGAAAAACACTTTCTCCTCCTTTGTTTTCATAGATTGTTTGTCATAGTACTGCTGCATAGGGGCCCAAAAGAGCAAGGGCTCATCATAGGGAACTGGTGTTACAGGGCCAAAAGACACTTAAGGACACTTCCTTTACTGGTGAACCCATGATCCAAGAAGGCAAAAAAAAATCCCTTACGTTCCAATTTTCTTTAAAAGAGAACTATGGGGTAAGTGTTTTTCCCCACAGTTCTTTTAAGGGTCACAGGAGGACATAAACTAGTGTCCTCCCGTGACCCAAAGCTCAGTATATCACAAGCTACAGCTTGCCGTTTACTGAGACTGGCGCAGCCGGGACGGATCCCGACATTACTGTCAAAATTCACTCAGCTGCGTGAGTGACAGCTGGCTCTCCCTATCTAGAGGCCGAGCCAGCTGTACCCGCCATCTCCCCGTCCATTCTGTCAGTCAGCGCTGGAGGAGCGGGGAGGAACCCTGCAGGGAGCCGTGACTGTCACAGCTCCCTGCAGGGAGATCGAGAAGTGAGCAAGCGACGGTATGTGTTCGCTCACTTCTCGATCTATTGAGCCAACATGTGACCGTTTCATTGTCGCACGTCGGCTCGAACTATGAGGTAAGTGATTTTCACTCACCTCATTAGTTCTCCTTTAACAGAATTATATTTTCAAACATGAATATTGTTCATTCTATTTTGGAGGGGAAATGGGGTAAAGGGACTGGGAGGTCCTCTCTTCTATTGGTGAATGATTTCTTTAAATCTTTGGACTGTTTGTTTTTTGTTAATCACATGTCCAAGGAGGGGTCCTTGCATGGGGCTATTGCTATTCCATATGGTCTTACAAGAACAATGCGATTTGTTGACTGGCATACATGCTAAATGGTTGAGATCAGATGTCTCTGTGGGGCAAACAAGAGGCATAGACTTTCAAAAGTTGTGTGAGTTCTTTTGTAGAGATGTATGTTTTGGTAATTGGACAGGGAAGGGGCTCATTTACTGAAGGTATATTAGGCACTTTGGGGTTGATTTACTAAAATCAAATGGGCTGTTTGTTGGCCAAGGGATTTTGCACTTTGCAAGGGAATATAGGCGTGAGATGCTACTACAGATATTTCCCTAACACAAATGTTTTATTTATCCATTGGACAATAACTTTGGACAAATTTCTCAAATTAGAATGTGAAAGGTCAGAGTAAGCCTGCAGACTTCAATTGGGAATTCCTGACACATCTGGTAGCCTTGTGGCAAATGCTGAACTGTCTACAACCAATTGTCATTTTGCTTAAGATCAGAGGGATTGTTTCATCTCTAATAAAGTCCAAAATATTAATCACCGCCAGATGAAAATTATCCCTTCTTATAGCTCCTAGCACATTAGGTTCCACGTACAGAACGGAAAGGGTGTACCTGCAATCACCCAGAGACCAGCAAAACCATTAAATGGTTCCTGTCTGAGGGGGTCAGGTGGTATTTGGATTCACTGCACTTGGAATTATGTGGTGATGTCAGAAATCCTAACACTGACCGAACCATCGGAACCAGCTGGTCCATAAAACCTATGACCAGTTCAGAAGACTAGAACCTCTAATCCTATCAGATGAGGTTACTCCTCTGCTCCTCTGAAAGAAGATTGGCCAAAGGAGATAAGTCTTTTCCACATCTTTCCTCTATAAATTAAGTAGACTGAAGAAATTAACATTGCATGCATCTGGGAGAATGTTTTCAAAGACACAAAGATGCACCCCTCTATTTGTTCTGGTGACTCTTGTTGCCAAGACAAAGTGAGGGGAAATTCAAAAGTTTTGAGTTATCACCAGTTCCCTAAAATGATAATTCTATTTACCTTGGGGAGATTTCCTCTCTTTTCTTGTTGTGTCTAAAGGGCAAGAAGTGAAGAAAATTCTCCTCAGTCAGACATATTAAAAATACAAAAATATAGCGGTTTTAAGCCTTCCCTACGCCTATCGAAACCTTTAAAAAAAAAGTGTTTTAGTTTTATATGCTTGTTTACATACTTGCTCAACTATACACAAATTAAACTGGGTTTCTAGTTTTGTCCAAGTAAAATGGCATTATAAGAAAATGTCATGGAACCAGCTAAAGTATAGAAATTTGAAAAACCTCAATTTTAATCAGATTTTGATCAATTCAAATCAATTTTTCTTTTGGATTAGTAGATTACACGGTAATCCCTGTGTTGTGAAGCCACTGTTTTTATATATTTTAATAAAATATTTTTTACATCATGTTTGTATAAGAAGGTCCTAAAAATGTTCTAAATCTATGATTGTGTAACCTTTTGGTTACCTGGCCAGGTATGGGGTTTCTCTCCTTCCTACATGTCGGGACAAATGTCTACAGAGGGGGCAAATTTCTTCTGTTTGGTAACCTGAAATCATCACTAATATTTAATTGTAAAATATCTTTTTTTCCAATACCTACATGTAGGTAAAACACGGACAATCCCATTGGATGGTTCCTTTTTCTCAGGTGCCTCTACCCTAAAGCCAGAGGAAGTCTTGTTGAGTGTATTTATACCTTACTCAAAAAAGGTAAGTCTTAAAATGTAATTTCCAGCTCGTATTTAAATAAAATGACAGGGCTATTCACAAAAGGGTGAAGAGTTTGGGGAAGTCAGGTGAAGTGAACAATCTAGGAAAACATAGCTGAACTGGAAAGTGAGCTGAATTGGAGGATTTTTCCAAATCTGTTATTTTGGCCTAGATTGTTCACATCTTCTGCATTCTCCTAACTCTTCACCCTTTAGTGAATAGACCTGTAAAGCTCCACTTTATTTCGTGGTTCATTGATTTCATGTTTTGTCTTGTGGTTAGTGGTAAACCTTACCCTCAAGCATCTGCCCCTTTGGTTGTAAACTGAGCAGTGGAAACCAGATCTACAGTTCTGGATTGACTGTAAACCTACCAATGCATCATCCACACAAGGAATGACACAAACACCAGGTAGAGGTTGCCAGTTTAGTAATAAAAGCGGTGATCCCCAACGATAAGTTTTAATCAAAGGAAAGTTAAACCCAAGGGAGTACCAGTGCTTAGATGTAGTGGCTGCATTCATTTGGTCTTCAGGCTAGGAACATTTTAAGCAAGTACAGAAAATACCTGTTGATCTCTCAAGCAGTGGCTTAACTACCACCGCTGCAGTCGCTATGGGCCCCGCGGCAGTGGGGGGGCTCGGATCCCCGCTGCTCTCCCCCGCTTGTATGAGCTGAGGCAGCGGGGATCCGAAAATAAATGGCCGGCGGAGGAACCGTTGCAATCCTGAAACTGACAGGACGATAACAGCTCCGCTCTCCTCCTCGCCTGCTGCTCGATCATCGTGATCCAGCGACACGCTAGATCACGATAATCGAGCGGCAGGCAGGGAGGAGCGGAGCCGCTGTCATCCTGTCAGTTTCAGGATAGCAGTGGCTCTGTGCGTGGCCGAGCGTAGGGATAAGTAAATATCATTGATATTTACCGATCCTCCGTGTGCTCCACAAACACTGGAGTGATCGTCTGATCACTCCAGTGTTTGTAAATAATTGGGGACACATAGTACTATGTGTCCCCAGTTATGAATGAACAGGCTGTGATTTACATCACTTCCTGTTCATTCATGAAACTATCAGCAGTTTCATATTGCCGTGCATTGTGTTGTAATGAAATATACGCATGTATCATTTTATAACAACACAAACATCAACACAGCGCAAAACGATTTTTAACATATTTATTCATTTTTTTATAATCCCCCTTTCCTCAGCCTCTCATTGGTGTGGCAGTATTAAAGTAAAGTGTTAGGCCCTATTCACACCAGGCCGGAAGCCGTTTACGGTGGTTTCCGCGCGATTTTTGAAAGATATTTTTGCTGTTTTTAGTCACGTTTCAGCGCTGAAACGCAATTAAAAACGCTCAAAACTTGCTGATCAGCGCATTTTTATTGAAATCCATATGGAAAACATGCTGATCAGCACGTAAAAAGTATCTCAGGGAGCATTTTGGGCCGCAGGTGGCTCGGATCGCTTGGAGCCGCACGGTTGCCTGAACAGTCCCCATAGGAATGTATAGGATTGTTAATTTCGGCAGTTCAGCGTGGACAAATCCGTGTGTCTGAACCGCCCTGGTGTGAACACTCACACAGGGTTGACAAAACTGGTGCGGTGGGGGCGGGGGGGTTTCGTTTGGGGGGAGGGCATACAAAATTTTGCTATGGGGCCCTGGCATTTCTTCTGAACAGTCCCCATAGGAATGTATAGGATTGTTAATTTCGGCAGTTCAGCGTGGACAAATCCGTGTGTCTGAACCGCCCTGGTGTGAACACTCACACAGGGTTGACAAAACTGGTGCGGTGGGGGCGGGGGGGTTTCGTTTGGGGGGAGGGCATACAAAATTTTGCTATGGGGCCCTGGCATTTCTTTTTATTCCCCTGCTCTCAAGAAATGTGGTAGCATTGCTACTTCCTATGAACACAAACTATATTCTCTTTATTTTGTACAGAGCCAGTTTGTGTCTGCATTCAGACAAGCTCAGAGAGAAGAAAATTCTTTTCCTATTGTGAATGCTGGGATGAAAGTGGAATTTAAAGAGAATACTGACATTATAAAGGAAATGAAAATATTCTATGGTGGTGTCCATTCTACAACTGTGTCTGCAAAGAACACTGGAGAAGCTCTCATTGGGAGGTAGATTAAAATGTTTGCTTCTTTAAAATTCTTGGTAAATGTAGATGTTTATAATTGTATTAGTGATGATTATATTTAGCTGACTGCCTGAAAAATATATTGGATGATGGTAGGTTATTATGGTATTCTCCAAAAGTATGTCATTCATACCTAGCATAAACATTATATGAAGGACTACTAGAAAGGAGAGCAAAGTAATATTACTCTTCTTCCCATGTAAAATAAATAAATAAAAAATAAAAATATATGCTCCTACTGATAGCTATTGATAAAATATTATTGTCTGAGATACATGTTTTTACTCTAGTGACAGCTGCTAATTGCTAGGAGTGTGGGAATTAAAAAATAAAAAGATCAGACATTATTGTAGGCTTTTTTAAAAGGGGCTGTCTTGGTTAGATGCCTTTGTCCAAGAGGGAAGGAATACATGGCATTTGGCTTTCCAGTAGGATCCAAGGGAATAAAAAAATGTGCAGAGATTCAAGCTGGCAGAGTTGGTGGCTACAGCTGAATCATACACAGTAGCTGAGACACTGAAGTTGCAGGTCTGAACAGGTATCTATATATTACCCAGCAGCTGTCACTGACTCATTTAATCAAGATCTGAATGTGGAAGACATATGTTTACTAGCATTGGGGGCAAATGCCGCCCAGTCCTACCCTTGGTGCTTATGTTCTGAGAAGGTTTCCTCCCACAATCAAACAACATACTGGCTTATGTTTTTGTGTGAGTTCCTACTTTTGCCTAACTGGTTGGGACTTTAGATTGTATTGAGGTGGTGTGCTCTGTTTGTGCTCTATAAATTAAAGTGACACTAATCTCAGGAGTTAAATGTTAAAAATGCATCCAAGTACACTATGTACAAAATTGTAGCTTATTTCGCCTGTAGATGCTCAAATCATCTCTGAATTGGTGCTGACACTGTCCTTCCTTCTGGAGAGTGGCTACTTTTGTTCCTCATGGTCCCTGTGTGTGTTGCAAAGTAGCCACTGCTCCAAGCTCGCTCCTCTGATGGCCTGCCACCTCCCGCCCGGCTGCATTAAAGCACCGCTCCCCCCTTCTCCTCTGCTCCAGCAGTCGAGGGGGGGGGGGTCTCTAATGTCATCACATACAATGCAGGATCCATAGCTCTGTATTATACAAGAGGACACTGAGGGACAGTCCACAAGCCTGAGTGCAGGGGAGAGAGGTAAGTGCCTCACTGCTGGGAAAGCGGGGATCAGGTAAGTAAAAGTCCTTTACAGAATACCCCTAGACAAAATGAACAGTTAACCCTTGTAGTGCAGAGTAGCCAGTGCAAGGGAAGGTGTTTTTATTTTTGGCTTTTCTTATACCCGGAGGCTTTAAATGTGGGTAAAAGTTGTCTATTTAGCTAGTAGTTAGTCACTTTCAACTGTATTTGTTCTGCAATGTTGAAGATGATTCAGAGCTTATCCAGGCAGCTTCTTCAGTTTCACGTCTTCAGCATTTGTCAGGGTACCATGCACAGGCGTCCTCACACCTCCTGCAGGTACCCACGCAGGATGACCAAATTAATATGCCCACACAGGATAGGGTTCCATGCACACAGTTTATTTGCTACACAACAACAAAACTACAAACCCCCTCAACCCCCCCACAGGTTTAGCAGTGACGTAATAAACCCACCGTTGGGACAAACACACACCTACAGCCAGGGGGAAGCAACAAGGAGGGGTAACAGGCCTGCAGATATATGGCAGGCCTCAGGATAAAAGAAGAGTGGTCAGGTACAAGCTGGGTCGTTAACAGGAGGGCAGCAGCACGGTACAGGAACAGGATCCAAGAGAGTGGTCGGGTAACAAGCCGGGTCGGTGAAAGGTCTGCAGATAGGAAGAAGGGTTTCAGGAAGCAGGGTTCAGGTTTATGGGAATCAGTCAAGTGCAGGCGACGCAAATACTGAGCCAGCTTCCTGAATGCAGGTAGGGCCTAAATACCCTCCCAGGAAGCAACAGGTGATGGGATGATCAGTCACAGCTGGGGCACACCCGCAGGTGAGTACTGGAGCTGCAGGTTCCTTACAGTCCCTGGCTGCTGGAGACAGCCGCAGGCGAGCACAGGAACTGCAGGACCTGGCTCCAGCACCACCTGGGGGTGCTCTGGATCCTGACAGCATTACAGAACAAGTCACGTTGAATGTAAATAACTACTGCTACCATGGTCAGAATAAATGTGAACCATCACAGTTGTCTATATATTTTTCATTTTTTGCTCTACTTTATATATTATGTAAAGTGTAAATCACCCTGTGCCCAATCAGATATCTGATAATTATAGGCAAGTCTAAATGATTTACCCTGGTATTATTCATGAGATGCTTTGTTGCTTTTTACTCTTGCCTTATGTGACCTATGTAGTCTTCCCCACCTCAAAAACAGGAAATCTAAAATTGTATAAGATGTTAAAATTTTTTTATCAGTTTTATTTTAGATGAAGTAAAGTTATTAAGGTTGATTGATCAAGCAGTGTAAGTCAATTAAATTAATTAAATTAATGAAAGGTTAGAGACTTTCCGATTTTCATTGCACTCGGTGTTCCTGCTCTGGAGATATCCCCTCACCTTCTGTTCCATAAAGTGAGGAGAATGTCCCCAACAGGGACATAGACTGCAATAAAATTCATGAGAGGTTCTAACACTGCCATGAACTATCAAATACTAAAGTGTTTTTGCAATTTCACTGTAATATAGGCATTCTATGTGTGTACATTTTGCTGTACGGAGCCCCGCAATAGTTGTGATAACTTTTACCATATTTTCTTGATAGACATTGGGATGATGGCATGCTGGGTGAAGCCAACAAACAGATAATGAATGAGGTGTCTCTACCACCTTCTGCTGCTGATGGAAAAGTGGAATATAAGAGGTCTCTGATGATCGGTTTTCTCTTCAAATTCTACCTGCAGGTCAGGCAGGAACCAGATATGCCTGTAAGTAATGGGCAATTACAATAACATGCCAAATCAATTCTAAAAAAATAAACTAGAATGAATAATAAAACATTTCAAACACAATGCCAGGCAGATATAAACAATGTTGTTCCGTTTAATTATATTTTCTTTCAAGTGTTATGATATGACCTTATAGTTCAGCTGGCACCTGTTACCACACACAATCTGAAAGCATGGAGCTTGGAATAGGGATGCCTACTCTGGAAAGGTTCACCCTAGTGCCATTATACAAAGTGTGAAAGCTCAAGGTGGACTTTAGCACGGTGGTCATCTTCACTAGCTGTCCAAAATGCAGGAACAAGATGGTAAAGCTGGTGAAAATTGTTTAGGTGCTTCTATTACCCAAGGAATATTTCATAGCAGGGGTGGGTGGATTACAAGTGTGTGCTCATTTTCAGAAACCATTTTGAATTGGTTAACTTACAAAATACAAAATATTTGTAATAATGCATTTAGCTGTTTGGCTAGAGCTGCCCTTCAAATGAATGATCCACAATTAAACCTACTGTCAATAAATCTCCTTTCAGCATTTTCAGAAAACACTTCTCCTATGGTAACCTTCTCCTACCTTTTCATTTATGGTGTGTCAGAGGTCATGCTATTACTTGTTTCAACATGTTCAGTCCCACAATGCATCACTTCAGTAATGTGTGTACAAGCTCAGAGACCAGCTATGCTGTACTAGACATGTGCGATTCGGTTCGTTCCGAAATTCGTTTTGGACGAATTTTCGGAAATTCGGAGATTCGGATGCATCCGAATTCCGAATTACAGCTAAGACGAATGCAAACTAATCCGAAATTCCCGATTTCCCGAAAGAAAGTATGTTTAGTTTCGTTTCGTTTTTCGGATTCGTTATTGGACGAATTTTGTTGCAGCAAAATGAGATTAGGAAAAAAAAATGAGGGTTAAAGGTTCAGAGTCAATAGTCTAGTGGTTAGCGTACAGGTTTCCCATTGGCAAGGACGCGCCTCCCTGCGCCTTACCAGGCCATGTGCCCTCAGCATTAGGAGGGTGTCCCCATGCCGATGGGGACAAGGGCCTCTTCCCCCCATCCCTGACCCGGTGGGCAAGCGGGCTTATTTGCATCGGGGTACCCCTTTAAATAAGGGGACACCCAGATGCCGCCCCCCATTGTGAATGAGTAAGGGGTACTTGTACCCCTACTCATTCACTAAAGGGTTAAATCAAATAGTTAGTAAAAAGTCCAGACTTTTGACAAAATCCTTTAATTGAAAAAAATATTTTTTGACTATTCCTTTAATAAAAATGTTTTTAAAAAATGGCTCCATCGATGTAATCCAGAGTCAATCAGGATGTAGGACCCCTGCCGACCCGCCGAAATAAAAAAAGTCCTGCGGCAGGACGCCCGTCCGATCCCGACAAAAACTAGCCGCAAATAAATTACATTCTTCAGTCTGAATGTCAACAGGTCGGCGGAGCGAGCCATAACGTCACGGCTTGCTCTGCCCATTTGACATTCTCAGCTGTCAAATGCTACATATTGCATTCATATATATCAAATGCTTCTATGGTTAAAGTATAGAGGCTATAGTGTAGTGGTTAACATACAGGTTTCCCATTGGCAAGGTCTCAGGCCCATTTGACATTCTCAGCTGTCTCCCGGCACTGGACCAGAAGTCCAGGGCCGGGAGAGTAATAGATAACGTTTTTTGTTTTTTTTTCTTTGCTTTTGAATTGGTTTGTTTCAAAACGAAACTAAACTAAACACATTTTTTGCTGGTACACATGTCTATGCTGTACTAGATGAAAGATGGGAAGAATAGTCACGTGGTTTACAGTTCAAAAGGGTAACACATTCTTGGTCTCTGGGGGTTATTCAAAATGCCAGTTGATTTTAAATGCACTCCAGAAGCCTCAAAACTTTGAGTGCTTTACTATGCTCCAGATTTCTACCACAGTGTTATTGCTTTTGCTGTGGCCCATCTGACACCTCTGTTTCCCACTAAATGTGGATGGCTTCAGTGGCACATGGATAGATGCTGCGGAGAAACAGTGTGTAACTGATTTACCAGCTGCAAGAAGCCCCAGGTGCTATTAAGGACAGTTCAGATGAATAAATGGAGTAGAACATTTCATACTTGTGTCTTTTGTGTACATTAAGTAGGATTCCTTTCTGCTTTAATAGTCTCCTTTTTTTTTTTTTTCTTTAGGTCTCCAATTCCTTCAGTGCTCCAGAGTCTATTAGTGCAGTCTGTGATTCTAAGAGTAAAGCACCTCAAACATTACAAATTTTCCAGGTAAGTGTTATGACCTTTTGATCCATTGTCCTTCAAACATAAAATGGCTGCCTGTACATCAAATACATCTGATAAATGCAGGCCCGGATTCCCCACAAGGCCACCGAGGCCCGGCCTAGGGGTGCAGAGGGGCAGCAGCGGTGTCCTTGTGGGGAAGTTGCCCTCTCTACATTTAGTCCTGCTTTGCACAAGCAGGACTGAATGTAGAGTGAGGCAGACAATTTTTTGTTTACATGTGAACTGTCGCCGAGATCACATGTAAACAGTGTGCAGCCTCCTCCCCTCCCCCCTGCACTTACCTCTCTCCTTTGGTTCCTTCCTCCGCCACCGAGTCCCGAGTCTCTGACTGCAGTGAGCAGAGCGGCAGGGTTATAAGTAACCCTGCCGCTCCGTGTAGTCTGTAGACAGTGAGAGGGGAGAGCAGTGCTCTTCCTCTCTCACCTGTCACAGGAGTTCCTGCACAGTGCTGTGCTAAAACTCCTGTATTGGAGGTGACTGGGTCAATAAAGAGAACCTGTCACCTCCAATTGCTATCACACAGGGAATTGTTTTTTCCTGTGTGATAGCAATACAGTTAGGTGGAAAAAATTTTTAATTGCTTTTCCCTTAGAGTGTT